CACAGGTATGTGTTTTTAGTAGAGATGGGGTTTTGCCACGTTGGCCATGCTGGTCTTGAACTCCTGACTTCAAGTGACCTGCCCGCCCTGGCTTCTCAAAGTGCTGGAATTCATAGGCGTAAGCCACCACATCCAGCCTAAAAAAAATTTTTTTTTGAGACGGAGTTTTGCTTTTGTTGCCCAGGCTGGAGTGCAATGGCATGATCCCGGCTTGCCATAATCTCCGCTTCCCAGGTTCAAGCAATTTTCCTGCCGCAGTCTACAGAGTAGTTGGGATTACAGGCATGCGCCACCATGCCCGGCTAATTTTTTATTTTTAGTAGAGACAGGGTTTCTTCATGTTGGTCAGACGGTCTTGAACTACCAGCCTCAGGTGATCTGTCTGCCTTGGCCTCCCAAAGTGCTGGGATTACAGGCAAAAGCCAGCACACCCAGCCCTAAAATTTCTTTTAGTTCCTTGCTGTAATTAAGTCCCTGTATGCAAATCAAGTTTCTTAGAGTCAGAGTTTTATTTGATTCTTAAATTGTTCACTTGATCAGTAACTAATTGCTATTATCTATCCAGTTTCACAACCTTATTACTAAACTATTTCTAGTTTAAGTATTTCACAAATTTTCAAATATATCAAAAATGTGAAACGATATTTTACATTTTTTTACTTTTATCTGCTGTAAATTTTGAATTTTGTTATGACACAGCCTAAGTTAATGAATATATTAATCAATTTCAGGTTGGTATTTTTTTTTTTTTTTTTGAGACGGAGTTTCGCTCGTTACCCAGGCTGGAGTGCAATGGAGCGATCTCGGCTCACCGCAACCTCCGCCTCCTGGGTTCAGGCAATTCTCCTGCCTCAGCCTCCTGAGTAGCTGGGATTACAGGCACGCACCACCATGCCCAGCTAATTATTATTATTATTTTTGTATTTTTAGTAGAGACGGGGTTTCACCATGTTGACCAGGATGGTCTCGATCTCTCGACCTTGTGATCCACCCGCCTCGGCCTCCCAAAGTGCTGGAGGTTGGTATTTTTTTTAAACCTCTTCCAGGCATCTAGCCACATGTTAAAAGCAGTGGAAAAGCTGCATTCCAGACTGCTCTCATTTTGAATTAGAATTTGAAGTCTAATATAAATAAGTAGGTTACTTTTCAGATTCCTTCTAAGGCTAGCCGAGTTTATTTCACCTTGAAATTTTTACTTTTTTATTTTTTATTTTTATTTTGTTTAAAGATGGGGTTTCACCATGTTGGTCAGGCTGGTCTTGAACTCCCGACCTCAGGTGATCCACCCGCTTTGGCCTCCAAAGTGCTTAGATTACAGGCGTGAGCCACCACGCTTGGCCTCACCTTGAAATTTAACAATACACCCACTATAAAAATTTTAATTAAACTCTTAGAAACTACTTTATAGTAGAACATCAACATTTTCTGGATAGGTGAAAGCTTTTATATTACATTTTTATTTTGCAAGAAAATAAATTATACAACTTAAAAAATAAAATCCAAAAATTAAGCAGTTCATCAAAATATTTCAGCCTACTGCATACAGAAACTGCTACCACTTAAAATTGTACAGCATTATCATCTCAGTATGTAGTGGCACACATTCAAAATCGTATAGACCATATGAGGATAGATTACAACTTAGGAACTAAAATAAATTTGTTCAATACTCCAGACAACATATAGTGTAGATGACAGGAAAGCTCTCATGTAATGTTTATTTCACAAACATGAACTTGGAAGAATTTATAAGACAGCATCCCAGTCATTTACATGAAAATAGAAAAACCAGCTTGAGTTTAAGATAACAAATCTTTCTGTAAAACTAGCAAATCTTTCACCCAGACTGAAGTTTTAAAATTTGCCCCTGAGCAGTGCTAGAGACATCTTACTGCAAATAATGCAAAATACTTTCTAACTACTCAGGTCATATTTTCTATTAAATTTAATAAAAGGTAAAAGAAAAAAAGCTAACATTTCATTTTTGGAAGGTTTAACATTTATGCACAAAATAAAAGCAAGAGACTTAAAAAGTTGACAGAACTCAGGGACCCCTCCAATAAATGTAAAAATTGGAAGACTTCAGACTTTATTTCAAGATCCACATTTAATCATTGGAATAGTAATGTTCTAATATTTATTTCATTGTGACCATCAAAACTGTTCTATATTTTCACTTCCTAAACTCTGTCTTATGTCTACTTACTCTGGCAATGAGATAGCAACAAAAGTTAACACTTTCTAGATGGGATGTTTCCATCTTTAAAACTAGAAGAGCTTAACATAGCCTCTCAAGTGTCTTATTGCCATACTACTAATTTTAAAAAATTAAACTTATTTTTCTTTTTTTTGTAGGGAGAGGCTGGATTTTCTTTTCCCTTAACTGCAGGTTTTATCTCTGCTCTGCTCCAATTTTAGGTGCACACTGGAGAGGAGACCTGATAAAGGATGCCAACCGTGATTCCAGACCCTTACAAACTGCTGGTAAGATTATATTTTTCTTTTCTTTTTTTAATTAGCAAATCTGTTGTTAAATTGCTTAAAGAAAATTCAACAATGGCATAGGCACCTTGTCAACTAAATGGTTTTCATAAACACCAAAAAGTAGTTAAACTTTTGTATACATAACAAAAAAAAAATGATGAAAACTTTACATTTACAGTATTTGCTGCTGTTCATTCTCAAAATACAATTAAGACATAATTAGCTGTTAAAAATTTATAAAATTTAATAAAAAACCTTGCTATGGATTTAGTGTTACCTGCTTTTGCATTAAATTCACCTTCATAAATCAAAACATCATGACTCTCACTCTTAAATTAAATGACTAAAAATTAGAAGTTCCAAAAAAGTTCTGAGGACAATTATGGTTTATAACAACAAACCTAAATTTTGAAAATGGACTGCAATTTTTCCTCCTATCATTTTCACCTTTGGCATCCTTGTATTGGGACAAGCAAATACGCCAATGCTGAATTATCTGTTAAACATAAGGGCCACAATTACTACAAAATTATTTCTTCTAAATTTCAAATTTACCCATTTTTAACAATCACTTAATTAGAAAGAACTGTGAGTACTAATTTTAGTTTAATTCTTCACAATATGCTTGGTCTAACAAATGATGTTTGCTATCTTAAAGATGAAGTGTAAATTTTTTTTTTTTCTTTTTGATACGGAGTTTCGCTCTTGTTACCCAGGCTGGAGTGCAATGGCGCGATCTCGGCTCACTGCAACCTCCACCTCCTGGGTTCAGGCAATTCTCCTGTCTCAGCCTCCTGAGTAGTTGGGATCACAGGCACGCACCACCATGCCCAGCTAATTTTTTGTATTTTTAGTAGAGACGGGGTTTCACCATGTTGACCAGGATGGTCTCGATCTCGTGACCTCGTGACCCACCCGCCTCGGCCTCCCAAAGTGCTGGGATTACAGGCTTGAGCCACCGCGCCCGGCTAAAATTTTAAATTATAAACAAAATTCCAATTTCCTAAGTGTTTAAGAACAGGCATTTTACTATACTCAGTAAAACTCTAAATGTTTTAAATTTGCTTTCCTTCCATTCAGCAAGCAGTTCAAAAGCTTCTTGGGGTGGGGACAGATTCCATGAAATGCTCTTGAAAGCACTCCACTATAACGTAATACTGTATGCCTTTCTGTACTCCATTTCCTACTATCTTCAAAAACCATACTTTAAAAAATATTACTTAACATCAAACAACATATAAAATAATTTGCAAGAAAATTTTAAACGTGCACCACAATGAATAAAAACCCACGTTGAGCCATTCATTCCCCAAAGGGGATAAATTTTTTATTTTTAGTTGTTCAAGTTCTCAAGTCCTAACATTTCCACTACTCTGGGTATTCAGTTGCCAGCAACTAGTTAAGTTGCTACTTTGGATTGAATGAAAGGAACACGGTAAATGTTGCCTTCTGGCCATTTAAAAAATGTTTATTTTTAAAATATATAAATATATATGTACATATATTTGGCAAGGTTACTGCTCGTATTGAGTGCAACAATTTTGCTTCTGTTTTTTCAGGTCTTATGTTGTGGTTTTTCTCTTACCCCTAGGTGACTGATGCAAACCTGAGGCTACAAATCCCTAACCATGAGACTTAAAAATACCAAAATACTTCTATGCTACGGCTGATGAGATCAGTTACATAACTGTATTATATTAGAGCAGGAGATTTCTGCATTGTTTTTAATAAATTCAGATATGGCATAATAAATATTAGGTATATAAATATTAAGTGTGTTAGCAAACACAATTCATGTTTAGTAAACACACTTAATATGTTTGTTTTGCTATTTTGGCTCTGCAATCATAATGACCTACCTAGCTCCATAAAATTTTTTAAACAATTGAAGCAACAATTAATATAAGCTTCACTTTTCAAAACAAGCTCTCCAGCCATATTAAAGAAAAAAAAACCCTGAAAAACTCCTTTATCATTTAACAACAACTAAAATAGCAGTCTCCTGCTTAAAGAAAACCAACATTTGAAAGTTGAAAATATTTAATACCATTTTTAGGTCACCATTAAAATCCAGTCATACTGAGCAGTGTTTGAACAAAAAATTTGATACTATTAAATACTTAACCTCTCACCTGCATCTCCCCTCTCCCACTGTTGCATTGACAGCTCACTCTTTTCATCAAAAGAAACCAAGAGTGCTATTTCTAGTTTTAATTGCATTTTTTAAAAACAGAAGTTAACAGCATTTTTCATTGCATGAGTATCTGAAGATCCTTCCTTGTGCAAGTACATTTTTTAAGAGAGGAAAAAAAAGAGAGAAAAAAGCAACAAGAACCCCGCCCTCACCCTTTCCAACTGTATTTCTCCTGGTGGGTACAAATCAAATTCACTTTTAAAAGTTGATAATGGGCTCTTCATGAATGCAAGTTTCTCCACAAAACAGCATGCTGTTAAAGAGTGTGCAACATGAAGGGAATGCCATCATGCTAACTAATGTGACTGGCAAAATATAGTTGTTTTTGTAAGGTAAGGCAGAGATTTTAATATTTATGTAATCAAAGTCCAAATAAACCTTTCTCCAGCACAAACTGTTACAACTTTCTGCTCAAGCACTCCAAAATTTGGGTTCTTACTATTGTCCATGATATTCAAAATTATGCCATATATATGAAAGTGTTGATATCAGATTCATCTCTTCTGATGTATTTGTGCTCTATTAGCCACTCTATTTGCTCTTTTATCATTTTCTTTTGTGGCAAGAACATGTTTTTCAAAATTTCTACTAATTCAGTCTGCAGCTGGGCATTACTAATTTTCTTTCTCATTTTCATTATTTGTATGATAGCTTCCTAAAAGAAAAAATAAAAGTGCATTAATATATGAAATTATTTTAAGTACAATAAACTGAAAAATGACTTTTTATGCATATTCATCCTCTATCCAACATCTACCCAAATGAATAACAATCACTAGGGGATTAATCTTGACACCAGTATCTTTTCCTTAACAAATAAAAACATCTTTTGTTTTTTCACTTCCCATAAAAAAAATCTGCTTATTGGCGTGGGGGGCTAGGGGAGAAATAACATGAGGAGAAATACCTAATGTAGATGATGGTTTGATGGGTGCAGCAAACCACCATCGCACGTGTATATACATAACAAACCTGCATGTTCTGCAGGTGTCCTGTATAATTTTTAAAATCTGCTTATTACAGAGATTTTGAAAAATTAAGAAAAATCAAAATTACCTCTGCCTCTCTGCTGAAAGAAAACCACACCTAATGTTTTAATATTATTTCCTTCGATTCCTTTTTTCCATACCATTCACATTCTTAAAAGTTATCTTACCTGTGAAAACAGTATGTGCATAACCTGGTATTATGTTAAACATTAATTAAAATACAACAAACCCCCTACACCCAATTTTTTCCTCGTATTCAGTTATTTCTTTGTGTCATAGCAGAGGTCAGTTGGGGTCTGTTTTAAAACTCAGTAAGTACTACTCCTTTTTTATTTTTATTTTTTTATTTCTTTTTAGTATTACCCTTTATGTATATTTACCAGATTAATTATATTTGCTACAAAATATTATCTTCAGTTTGTATTGGTTCAATTAAGTGTTTTTAAGTTTTTTCTTTCCTTCTTCTCTTTTTAAATATAGAGACAAGGTCTTGCTATGTTGGCCAGGTCAGTCTTGAACTCCCAGCCTCAAGTAATCCCCTGTCTCGGTCTCCCAAAGTGCTGGGATTACAGGTTTCTTGTTTTTTTTTTGAGACGGAGTTTCGCTCTTGTTGCCCAGGCTGGAGTGCAATGGCGCGATCTCGGCTCACCGCAACCTCCGCCTCCTGCGTTCAGGCAATTCTCCTGCCTCAGCCTCCTGAGTAGCTTGGATTACAGGCACACGCCACCATGCCCAGCTAATTTTTTGTATTTTTAGTAGAGACGGGGTTTCACCATGTTGACCAGGATGGTCTCGATCTCTTGACCTCGTGATCCACCCGCCTCGGCCTCCCAAAGTGCTGGGATTACAGGCTTGAGCCACTGTGCCCGGCCCGGGATTACAGATTTCTAAAGGAATAAACCTTTTTCATCTAGGTCATTTTTTTTTTTTTTTTTTTTTTGAGACGGAGTTTCGCTCTCGTTACCCAGGCTGGAGTGCAATGGCACGATCTCAGCTCACCGCAACCTCCACCTCCTGGGTTCAGGCAATTCTCCTGCCTCAGCCTCCTGAGTAGCTGGGATTACAGGCATGTGCCACCATGCCTAGCTAATTTTTAGTATTTTTAGTAGAGACGGGGTTTCACCATGTTGACCAGGATGGTCTCGATCTCTTGACCTCGTGATCCACCCGCCTCGGCCTCCCAAAGTGCTGGGATTACAGGCTTGAGCCACCGCGCCCGGCCTCATCTAGGTCATTTTATTAAAATTTTTCTTGATGATTTCCTAAATTACTATTAAGTTTATAACAAGTTATTAGAAAATCATTAAATATTTTTTTCTCATTTACTTTTTCCAGTCCAAGCTCTCTCTTTACCCAACAAAAGGCATCTATATGCCTGGTGTGGTGGCTCATGCATGTAATCCTAGCACTTTGGGAGGCAGATGTGGGCAGACTGCTTGAGTCCAGGAGTTTGAGACCAGCCTGGGCAACATGGCAAAACCTCATCTCTACAAAATATACAAAAATATGTAGTCGGGCATGGGGGCCTGTGTCTGTGGTCCCAGCTATTTAGGAGGCTGAGTAAGGAAGATTGCTTGAGCTTGGGAGGCAGAGGTTGCAGTAAGCTGAGATTGCACTACTGCATCCCAGCCTGAGACCCCGTCTCCAAAAAAAAAAAAAAAAAAAAGGCATCTGTCTGTCTTAGCACAGAGTACAGTCTGTTATAAATGTTAAAATAGAAAAGTAAGTAATATTTGCTTTTAACATTTAAAAATGTTACTTTGCTGCAAAGCAACAGACTTGGGATTCCGGCACTATTCAGTAATAGAAAAATTCCTTCAATTTCCTCTGTAGAGATATGATAACCAGCTGGGGAGGGTGGCACATGCCTGTAATCCATGCAATTTGCGGTGGGTGGTTCGTTTGAGTCCTGGCATTTGAGACCAACCTGGGCAACATGTAAACACCCCATCTCTACAAAATATAAAAAAAAAAAAATTAGCTGGGCATGGTGGCACGCGCCTGTGGTCCTACCTACTCAAGGGGCTGAGGCAGGAGGATCACTTGAGCCTGGAAGGCAGAGGTTGCAGTGAGCCGACACTGCACCACTGCACTCCAGCCTGGGTGACAGAGTGAGACCCTGTCTCAAAAAAATAGAAAAATATGTTGGAGGCGGTAGCTCATACCTGTAATTCCAGCACTTTGGGAAGCCAAGGCAGGTGGATCACGAGGTCAGAATTTCAAGACCAGCCTGCCCAACATGGTGAAACCCTGTCTCTACTAAAATTACAAAAAATAGCTGGGCATAGTGGTGGGCACCTGTAATCCCGGCTATTTGGGAGGCTGAGGCAGGAGAATCATATGTACCCGGGAGGTGGAGGTCACACTGAACTGAGATCAGCACCACTGCACTGCAGCCTGGGCAACAGGGGTGAGACTCTATCTCAAAATGAATAAATGAATAAATAAAAGATATGATGACCCTTTCATTGACACCAGAAGGTCAACTGAATTCCTCCCACCCTTGACGCTATTCAGATACCAGGCTCTTGATCATCATAAAATGGGGTTTATGTCAGGGGTCCAGAGTGGAAGAAGGAAGAGGGAAAGTCTGTTCCTTCAAGCACGTGAAAATTACGGGAACCTGAAGGAAGAGGAGAGACATTTGTAAATGGGCCAATTTCTCCTTAGGTAGAGGTGAAGGTGGTAGTTATTGAGCCCAAGAGGAAAACTGAGCAGAGGGACACTGGCCCTGGTCCCCATTTGATAAGCTGGAGGTTACTTAAAAGAGTAGCATAGTATGATGGAGGTAATACTGCACTTCTGACTCTCCCTCAGTTCTCATGTGTCACAATAAGAGTTTCGAGCTAATGGAACTGCCACAGGGCCTTTAATGACAGGGTAAGGTAATCCTGCCATTATTCTGCAAAGAATAATGACAGTATGCCATGTAGGCCACGGAGCCACACAGAATATGTAGTGCAGTCTCAGAGGCTTCAAGAGCTCAGTAAGAGTAAGGGAAAGACAGAGCAGGGAAGAGGCCATGAGGCCCTTAGCAAATGGAAGAAGAATTAACCATAAATTCATCTGCTATGGACAACAGCAGCAGTTACCAACAGAAAGCCAAATTCTCAAAGATACACACTACTTCATAGCTACCAACAGCAAGAATCCAGGACACTGTCATAACTGCATAGCTACGATGCTCCCTTTACTTGACTAGTCAAGTAAATCCCTCTCTCACCCTCAATATATGCAGATGCCATCCATGAAAATCGCAAACAATGGAGATGAGCAGAGTAGGATCAGAAGGAAATACAGTCTGAGCATTTCCTAAAGACAGCTTAGATTATTGGAATCTACATAATTATGGATCACATTAAGACAAAACAAAAGGACTTCAATTTCTCTGCACATCTTAGAACATGACTACACCTGCATATATATTTCAACTCTTTTTTTTTTTGTTTTTTTGAGACGGAGTTTCGCTCGTTACCCAGGCTGGAGTGCAATGGTGCGATCTTGGCTCACCGCAACCTTCGCCTCCTGGGTTCAAGCAATTCTCCTGCCTCAGCCTCCTGAGTAGCTGGGATTACAGGCACGCGCCACCATGCCCAGCTAATTTTTGTATTTTTAGTAGAGACGGGGTTTCACCACGTTGACCAGGATGGTCTCGATCTCTTTTTTTTTTTTTTTTTGAGACGGAGTTTCGCTCTTGTTACCCAGGCTGGAGTGCAATGGCGCGATCTCGGCTCACTGCAACCTCCGCCTCCTGGGTTCAGGCAATTCTCCTGCCTCAGCCTCCTGAGTAGCTTGGATTACAGGCATATGCCACCATGCCCAGCTACTTTTTTGTATTTTTAGTAGAGATGGGGTTTCACCATGTTGACCAGGATGGTCTCGATCTCTTGACCTTGTGATCCACCCGTCTCGGCCTCCCAAACTGGGATTACAGGCATGAGCCACCGTGCCTGGCCATATTTCAACTCTTTAATCCATCTGGAGTTTATCCTGGCACAGCTTGAATATATTCTTTTTTTTTTTTTTTTTTTTTTTGAGACGGAGTTTCGCTCTTGTTACCCAGGCTGGAGTGCAATGGCGCGATCTCGGTTCACCGCAACCTCCGCCTCCTGGGTTCAGGCAATTCTCCTGCCTCAGCCTCCTGAGTAGCTGGGATTACAGGCACGCACCACCATGCCCAGCTATTTTTTTTGTATTTTTAGTAGAGACGGGGTTTCACCATGTTGACCAAGATGGTCTCGATCTCTTGACCTTGTGATCCACCCGCCTCGGCCTCCCAAAGTGCTGGGATTACAGGCTTGAGCCACCGCGCCCGGCTAGCTTGAATATATTCTAACTTTTCCTCCAAACAGAAAAATTTCCCAACACCTCTTAGTGAATAATTTATTTCCTTTTCATGGGTCATGGAAATTATTTCCTTTATTGTATACACTCTTCTATAATACAGAGTAGCGGATTTTTTTGTTTTTTGGTGTTTTTGAGATGGAGTCTCACTCTGTTACCCAGGCTGGAGTGCAGTGGTGCAATCTCAGCTCACTTCAACCTCTGCCTTCCAGGTTCAAGCGATTCTCCTGCCTCAGCCCCCACAAGTAGCTGGGATTAGAGGGGTGCTACCACAGCTGGCTAGTTTTTGTATTTTTTTTTTTTTTTTTTTTGAGATGGAGTTTCGCTCTTGTTACCCAGGCTGGAGTGCAATGGCGCGATCTCGGCTCACCGCAACCTCCGCCTCCTGGGCTCAGGCAATTCTCCTGCCTCAGCCTCCCGAGTAGCTGGGATTACAGGCACGTGCCACCATGCCCAGCTAATTTTTTGTATTTTTAGTAGAGACGGGGTTTCACTATGTTGACCAGGATGGTCTCGATCTCTTGACCTCGTGATCCACCCGCCTCGGCCTCCCAAAGTGCTGGGATTACAGGCTTGAGCCACCGCGCCCGGCCTAGTTTTTGTATTTTTAAGAGATGGGGTTTCACCATGTTGGCCAGGCTGGTCTTGAATTCCTGACCTCAAGCGATCTGCCTGCCTCGACCTCCCAAAGTGTTGGGATTACAGTTGTGAGTCACTGCGCCTGGCCTAAAGTAGGTTTAATCTTCTTGCCATACTATTTATTACTACAGATTTTAAAACATTTTAGTATTTGGCAGGGCAAGTTCTACCACTACCATCTTATTATCTTATTCTTTTTTAAGTTTCTCAATCATTCTTATTTATTTATTCTGATAAACTAAGAATCAATCTGTAAAATTCCAAAGATATTCCTAGTTGAATTTTCATATAAAATGTAGTAAACTTGACATTAATATCAGAAAAATCAATCTTCTCCGTTATTCAGCCTGGGTGCCAGGTTCAGTGGCATACGTCTGTAATCCCAGGTACTGTGCAGGCTGAAGCAGGAGGATTGCTTGAGTTATTAAAAAAAATTTTTTTTTTAAGTTATTCAGCCTTATCATTGAAGAATATGGTGTTTCACATTAAGCAAAAAAAAGTCGGACATAAAAGTACATACTGTCTGGTTCCATTTATATGAAGACCTGGAACTGGCAAAACTAAGTGATGATAATTAGAATCAGTTAGGGTAGAGGGAGAGCCTGCCTAGAGAGAAAACATGGGGAGAGACTGCTGTGACAGAAATGTTCTGTATCTTAATTGGGTTACGTTCACACAGGTATACCTAAACTCACTGAAAATTGTATTTTGAAAGATACATTCCATTGTGTCTAAATTACAACTAAAAATTTTAGAACAAAAAAAGAGCTCAATCGTTCTATTTATTCAACTCTCCTTCTGAATCTCCAGTAAAGAGCCACTTTCTTCATATAGCTCCTATAGAATGTGTATGAATTTTTCTTATTTTCCACTTATTTATTGCTAAATAGAAAGGCAATTGGTGTTTATTTATTTTTTTTTAAGACAAATTTCACTCTTATTGCCTAGGCTGGAGTGCAGTGGCATGATCTTGGCTCACTGGAATCTTAGCCTCCCAGGTTCAAGTGATTCTCCTGCCTCAGCCTCCTGAGTAGCTGGGACTACAGGTGCGTGCCACCACACCTAGCTGATTTTTGTATTTTTAGTAAAAAACGGGGTTTCACCATGTTGGCCAGGATGGTCTTGCTCTCTTGACCTCGTCATCTGCCCAACCTGGCCTCCCAAAGTGCTGGGATTATAGGTGTGAGCCACCTCGCTCGTCCAAATGCAATTGTTTTTTATTCATTCATCTTTTCTCTGCTACATTATCCTACTACATGATCTATAGATAATAAGCATTTTTTCATCTTTTCCTCATTTCATATTTTAAAAAGTACACTGGGCCGGGCGCAGTGGCTCAGCACTTTGGGAGCCCAGCACTTCAGGAGGCCGAGGTAAGCATACTGCTTGAGCCCAGGACTTCGAATCTAGCCTGGGCAACATGGTGAAACCCCGTCTCCACTAAAAATACAAAATCAGCCGAGTGTGGTGGCACACACCTGTGGTCCCAGCTAATCGGGAGGCTGAGATGGGAGGATCCTTTGAGCCCAGGAAGTTGAGGATGCAGTGAGCTAAGATGGTGCCACTGCACTCCAGTCTGGGCAACAGAGAGAGACCCTGTCTCAAAAACAAAACACAAAAAACAAAACCAAGAAAGAAAAGAAAAAAAAAAAATACCCTGGCCAGAAGTTTCAAACAGTAGTAAATGAAAATATAAAAGTTGAAAACCTTGGTTTTAAAAGGACAGTTTCTAAAGTTAAAACAATCATACATAGCTATTCCTTATTACATTCAGAAAGAATCATAATCCTAGCTTTACATTTTTTTAAAAGAAGAATATTAGAGATCTTTTTTGGTTCTAAACACGTTTCCTAATTTCACATTACAATGGAATGTGAAATTGGAATTCATATTCCAACTAGAATTGGAATTTTTAATGTATTTTTAGAAAATTGACTGAGACAAGATTTCACTTTGTTACCCAAGCAATCATCCTGCCTCAGCCTCCCAAAGTGCACTTGGCCCCTACATGCTTTTCAATTCAAAAAAGGTTTCAAAATTTAAAAAATAAAAAAGAAAACTAACGTTTTTCAAACTTCAGACATTCTGTCAATATTACAAACCTGGGTTCTTAGTATTCGTAGTTGAACTATTCCTTCATTCTCTTCTTCTCTCATCCTTTCTGTAGTGAGCTGCAAACGTCCAATCAAGTTGATTTTACCCCTTTTCTGAACTTTCGCATTTTTTCTACAAAAAGAATTGAATTGAATATTTTATGGTGAAAAAGACTTTTAAAATCCTATTATAGCAACAATGTCTGAGAGAAAATCTTTAGAAATATTCTAAAAATATCATAACTGTTTAAAGGAAAAATGACAGCCTACATTTGTGCTTTCTTTCTTTCTTTCTTTCTTTATTTATTTATTTATTTTGCGATGGAGTCTTGCTCTGTCACCAGGCCAGAGTGCCATGGCGCTATCTCAGCTCACTGCAACCTCTGCTTCCTGGGTTCAAGTAATACTCCTGCCTCAGCCTCCAGAGTAGCTGGGACTACAGTTGTGTGCCACCACACCCAGCTAATTTTTCTGTATTTAGTAGAGACCGGGGTTTCACCATGTTGGCCAGGATTGTCTCAATCTCTTGACCTCATGATCTGCCCACCTTGGCCTCCCAAAGTGCTAGAATTACAGGGAGTGTGCCACCGCGCCCAGCCTACATACTACTTTAAAACAAACTCTGTATTTTCCTTAAACATAACTAACCTGTTAATGAGTGATTACACTCTCTATAAAAACAAAGTTAATATTTTATATTTCCATAAAAGTGACTAGCTAATTAAAGATATATGGGTTATGATTCAGTGTTATCTCCTAACTGGATCTTAACAACACCACCAAAATGCTTTGTCTGAATAAACTTGCTTTAGAGCACAAAAGGGTATCACAGCCTGAAAGATGAAATGCAATATAATATAGAATGTCAAAGACCAAAAATGTATCCATGGAAAATATAGTAAAGAAGTAAACATCTGATTAATATTTTCCATAAACAACTAAATAAGTTTAGAGTGATGACAGTATATATTTATGTTTTAAATATAATATAAGGAAAATAATTATTTTGCAAAAAACAAAGTGCTAAAATTCAAACAAGGTGTTTTTGTTTTAGATCAACCAACATAAAGCTTACATTAAACTGAACTCCTGGTTCACTGAGAAGAGGGTACCTTCTGTAAAGTCTTTGGGTGAGTTGACTTGAGGTTCATACAATAAAACTTGCCGTTTGAGTTTTGGGAAAGCTACTAAAGACTATGAAGAATAAAGAGAAAACAATTAGCATCTAAAAACAGTATGGAACACTAAGATCAATTCTACAACATAATCAACATAGGCAAGAAAAGGATTACAAACACAAACTTAAAATGTTTGGTACTTCCATGAATATAATATTTGAATGCATAATGAGGAAAGGGAGGAGGTGAAAAGAGTTGGTTATGAAAAAGCAATAAATGCTCTCTTTACAGTAAGACAAGAAACTGGTCACACAGGACCATAGTAAACACCATCTGGCAGTTATATACCAGCTCCTTCCTCTACAGGTAGTAATTAATTTTGGAACTTCAGGCCAGGTGCAGTGGCTCACATCTGTAATCCCAGCACTTTGGGAGGCTGGGGCAGGCAGATCATGAGCTCGGGAATTTGAAACCAGCCTAGGCAACATGGGGAAACACCGTCTCTACTGAAAATACAAAAATAAGCCAGGTGTGGGACATATACCAGTAGTCCCAACTACTTGAGGGGCTGAAGTGGGAGGATCGTTTGAACCTGGGAGGTGGAGGTTGTAGTGGGCTGAGATTGAGCCACTGAACACCAGCCTGGATAACAGAGCAAAACTCCATCTCAAAAAAAAAAAAAATTAAAAAAATTTGGAACTTTTAAGAAAATTTGGAACTTCTATGGAGTAGGGGTAAAACGTAGTTGCGAGCAGGAGGCTAATGAGTATAATCTACAAGCTCTCAAACAGACCAAATTTTTCTTTTAGATTTTTGATCATCATAAAATCTTTGAACACATTCTCAGTATAAAAAGTAATTATATATCTGAGGCACAGTGGCTCACGCCTGTAATTCCAGCACTTTGGGAGGCTGAGGCAGGCAGATTACCTGAGGTCAGGGATTTGAGATCAATCTGAACAACATGGTGAAACCCTGACTCTACCAAAAATACTAAATTAGCTGGGCATGGTGGCACATGCCTGTAATCTCAACTACTTGGGAGGCTGAGGCAGGAGAACTGCTTGAACCCAGGAGGCAGAGGTTGCAGTGTGCTGAGACTGTGCCATTGCACTCCAGCCTGAGCAACAAGAGCAAAACTCTGTCTCAAAAAAAAAAAAAAAAGTACGTAGATGGTCACATTTCTCAAAGGTAACACTTAAATACCAATACCAACTCAATCTTTCTTTTTAAATTTTTTCTTTTCACTGGGCACAGTGGCTCACACCTGTAATCCCAGCACTTTGGGAGGCTGAGGTGGGCAGATCACGAGGTCAGGAGATCAAGACCATCCTGGCCAAGATGGTGAAACCCCATCTCTACTAAAAAAAATTTGCTGGGGATGGTGATATGTGCCTGTAATCCCAGCTACTCGGGAGGCTGAGGCAGAACTGCTTGAACCTGGGAGGCAGAGGCTACAGTGAGCCAAGACTGCACCACTGTCACCCAGGCTGGAGTGCAGTGGCATGACTGTGACTCACTGCATCCTCCTGGGGTCAAGCAATCCTTCCACCTCAGCCTTCCAAGTAGCTGGGATACAGCCACCAAGTTGGCAAATTTGCTTTTTTTTAAGATAAGGAATCCCACTATTTTGCCTAGCTAGTCTCAAACTCCTGAGTTCAAGCAATCCTCCCCTCCCGCCTTGGCCTCCCAAAGTGCTAGGATTACAGCCATGAACCCCTGCTCCTGGTCCCTCCTTTTATTTGAAGAACTTTCTCTGCCTTGGTAAATTGCCTATTTTCAATTTATTTTTTCAATAAATATCTCATTAGTGTATATATATATATATATATATATATATATATATATATTTTTTTAGAGAGTCTCACTCTGTTACCCAGGTTGGAGTGTAGTGGCGCAATCTTGGCTCATTACAACCTCCACCTCCAGGGTTCAAGCGATTCTCCTGCCTCAGCCTCCTGCGTAGCTGGGATTATAGGCTCCCGCCACCACGCTGGGCGAATTTGTGTATTTTTAGTAGAGACGGGGTTTCACTAGGTTGGCTAGCATGGTCTAGAACTCCTGACCTCAAGTGATCTGCCTGCCTTGGCCTCTCAAAGTGCTAAGATTACAGGCATGAGGCCCTGTGCCCGGCCTCTATTTTTCTTGATTGTAAGGCATTTTGAGACGGTTAATAAATTTAATAATATATTGCAAGCCAATCATATATTTACTGCTACATGAGAGGATATAATCTTAAAAAACAAACAAAAACATAAACAAACCCATAAGGTCCTTCTAAGTTCAGCATCAGGGAGTTCAGTTGCAAGTTTAAGATTTTCAAAGCTGATTTTCTCTCTGGGTCTTTGGTTCCATGCAAACAACACAGCAAGCTGAAACGTGGTTACCTCCAAATCATATTGACCTACTTCATTCTTAAATGTTATCTATAATAGATAAAATAGATTTTTAATAATCATGATTATCTCATGATGACTATCTATGACATGAATTTATATATGAAAAAGATTGCTGTCTTCCAAAATCTACCCTTTCTTTCATGGTAATAAACATTTTAGCATATGTTAATGACTGCCCACAATACATGCTCATCTCTTCTTTCCATGTGACTGAGTACTGGTCAGTGTGATGCAAATGGAAATGATGGAGGAAAACTTCTAGGAGCTGTCCCTAAAGAAAGGTATAAGCTACCCTCACCTTTCCCTTTCTATTGGCAGGAAGACTGAGATAGTTGGGATTACGTTGAATTCTGTAGACAAGGGCAGTATCTTACCCATGATGATGTAACCAGAAGCTTATGTTCCTAACAACTTCATGAAAAAAATTAACTATTTCTGCTCAAACTTTCACAAGTTAGCGAGGCAAAATTCTATTTTTTTAAGTAATTCTTCTGTGGAGTCCTGCAACTTTCATCCAAACGGAAAGCTCAAGTAACAAACATACTATCTACTTACAATTCCATTTGACATGAGATGATGCCAATGTAATTTTCTACCACTATGATTTTTTTTGTAGAATTCTTCTACTTCTGGTATCAAGTCCTCCAGTTCAGTAGGAAGTGAGACAAAGACTTTCTCTGAACTTCTTGACCAGGCACCAGCATTCAGAATTTTTATATTAACTGAATCAGCTATAGACAAGAATATCAAGAATATGAAGAAATTTATGTTAACAATGGATAAAATTCAAAATAAATACAGGGTAACTTTTGCTGAAAAATCATTAAGACTATAAAACTTTTGTTTAAAGTGTCCTTTTGTTGTGAAATAAAGATTTGTAAATCAACCCACTGCTTTGATAGCTGTTTCCAAGGAAATGGACTTCATAACATCTTTTGATCTATTACTGCTGAGGTTTATTTTTAATTTATCAGAAAACAAAGATTTTTTTAAGTTAAAAAAATATGTATGTGATTATAAAATAATACCTGGTAATGCCAATTTATTATTTTTGTGCATTTCCTTAAAAGCTTGGTTCAAATCTTCAGATACTTTTATGTCCTGAAACATTCTAGCAAGCTTGTTTACATAATCTGCTGGCATACCAACTTCCTATAAAATCCAAAGACAGAAGAGGTAATAAATACATAATCTGATATACTACTGAGAAAAAATTTAATGGAAAAACTAAGTCTTAGATGTTCTAATACAAAATTTTTCTCGCTTTATTAGAATGTTTATCATCTAATACCTATGAAATTTGCTTCTCTGAAACAAAACAGGATATTGCAAGGGGTCCCTGCTTTGCACAATTCTTTATGTATGAATTTCAGTTACCACATTACAGCTAAATAATACCATTTCCCCAAAAACAAAGTTCAACCTTCAGTTGACACTATATGAAACTGCAGGAAGTAAAAACTTTATTTCTAGCTCCTTGATCCACAAATCATGACAAAAATACAGTGATAAATTACAATATTGCTTTGAAAATCTATTAATTGGCCTGGTATGGTAGTTCACACTTGTAATCCCAGCAACTTTGGGAGGCTTAGGAAGGAGAATCACTTGAAGCCAGGATTTTGAGACTAACCTGGGCAACACAGTGAGACTCCATCACTATAAAAAATTTTTAAAAGTTAGCAGGATGTAGTGGTATACTGTCTATAGTCCCAGCTATTCGGAAGGTTAAGATGGGTGGATCACTTGAGCCCAGGAGTTTGAGCTCTGATTGTATCACTGCACTCCAGTCTGGGCAACAGATGAAGATGCTGTCTCTTAAAAAAAAAAACAAAATAAAATAAATTTTTAAAAAACATAAACACAATCTATTAGTCATTTGTTTATTCAGTTCAACCACAGACAGCAAAGTGTGTAGTTTCATTGCACCTTATCTTCCAGTAATTAACCCACATGACAACTTACAAAAAAGAATAATCAAAGAAGGTAATGGCACACAAAGATAATAAAAGTACACTGAAGAAATGAAAAGTGATAATGCTGGAAATGAAAATAAATAGAACATAAATGGAGTTATAGAAGAAAGCTGACTGTGATTGTCAGGCTGATAATGCCAGTGTTGAGGAACTTAGAGAAGGCAAATTATCAACATAAAAGAGAAAAGTGGTAAGTGACAAAAAAGATAAGATACCCTAGAGGAAGTGATCCTGGCAAAAATGCTATAAAAGAATTCGCGGTATTTCATGACACTGAAAGCCTAATAGATAAAATGCTAGAAGCTGATCCAAATTACGGGGGTGTGACAACTCTCCAAGGCAAAGAAAAGATGCTTACTCTGCCAAAGTTACATAAGGCAAGAACTATTTAAACTACTCTTCATTAACAGCTTTTCTGACACAGATAATTTATCTACCATAAAATTCACCCTTTCAAAGTATATAATTTGGCCGAGTGTGGTGGCTCATGCCTGTAATCCCAGCAATTTGGGAGGCCAAGGCGGGTGGATCACCTGAGGTCAGGAGTTCGAGACCAGCCTGGCCAACATAGTAAAACTCCATTCTCTACTAAAAACACAAAAATTAGCTGGGCATAGTGGCACGTGCCTGTAATTCCAGCTACTCGAGAGACTGAGGCAGGAGAATCGCTTGAACCAAGGAGGCGGAGGCTGCAGTGAGCCCAGATTGCACCACTGTACTCCAGCCTGGGCAGCAGAGTGAAACTCTGTCTCAAAAAAAATAAAAACAAAATATACAATTTAATGAAGTTTAGTATATTCACAGAGCTGTGCAATCATCACCATTACATAATTTTAGAACATTTTCTTCACTCCAAAAAGAAACCCCATACTATTTGCAGTTCACTCCTCATTTCCCCTTCCAGCCCCAACTCCTGGAATTCACTAATTTACTTTCTGTCTCTGTGGCTTTGCCTGTTCCAGACATTTCATATTAGTAGAATGATATGATATTGTCTTTTGAGACTGGCTTCTTTCACTTAGCATTATGTTTTCAAAGTTCATCTAATACTGTAGCAGGTATTAGTACTTCATTTCTTTTTATTGCAAAAAATATTCCATTGTATGGATTCATCGCATTTTGTTTATCCATTAGTTCACTGACATTTTGGCCTGTTTCCATTTTTTGACTTCTTTTTTTCGAGGAGGACGGAGTCTTGCTCTGTCACCCAGGCTAGAATGCAGTGGCGCCATCTCAGCTCACTACAACCTCTGCCTCCCATGTTCAAGTGATTCTTCTGCCTCAGCCTCCCGACTAGCTGGGACTACAGGTGCGTGCTGCCACGCCCAGGTAATTTTTGTGTTTTTAGCAGAGACCAGGTTTCTCCATATTGGCCAGGCTGGTCTCAAACTCCTAAACTTGTGATCCGCCCGCCTCCACCTCCTGAAGTGCTGGGATTACAGGCGTGAGCCACCCTGCCCAGTCCACTTTTTGACTATTAATAGTAGTCATGCCATGAACATTTGTTTACAAGTTTTTACATGAAACATATGCTTTCCGTTCTCTTCAAATGAATTACCTAAGAGTGAAATTGCTAAGTCAACTCTATGTTTAACACTTTTTTTTTTTTTTTGAGACGGAGTTTCGCTCTTGTTACCCAGGCTGGAGTGCAATGACTCGATCTCGGCTCACTGCAACCTCTCCCTCCTGGGTTCAGGCAATTCTCCTGCCTCAGCCTCCTGAGTAGCTGGGATTACAGGCATGCACCACCATGCCCAGCTAATTTTTTGTATCTTTAGTAGAGACGGGGTTTCACCATGTTGACCAGGATGGTCTCGATCCCTTGACCTTGTGATCCACCCACCTCGGCCTCCCAAAGTGCTGGGATTACAGGCTTGAGCCACCGCGCCTGGCCTATGTTTAATATTTTTAAAACTGCCCAACAGTTTTCCAAAGTGGCTGCACCATCTTACATCCCTTTTGGAAACTTAAGAAGGTTCCAATTTCTCCTCTTCCTTACTAACATTTGTTACTGTCTGTCTTTATTTTAGCTACCCTAGTGGGAATAAAGCAGTATCTCCATGTGATTTTTTTTTTTTTTTTAAGACAGGGTTTCACCATGTTGGTCAGGCTGGTCTTGAACTCCTGACCTCAGGTGATCCGCCCACCTTGGCCTCCAAAGTGATTTTCTGTTTGTTTGTTTTTGAGAAAGGGTCTCACTCTGGTGCCCAGGCTGCAGGGTAGTGAGTGGCATGACCTCAGCTCACTGCAACCTTGAACTTCTGGGCTCAAGCAATCCTCCCATCTCAGCCTCCCAAGTATCTGGAACTACAGGTATACATCACCATGCCTGACCAATTTTTGTATTTTTTGTAGAGATGGGGTACTGCTATGTTGCCCAGGGTGGTTTCTAACTCCTGGCTTCAAGCAATCCTCTCACCTCAGCCTTCCAAAGTATTTGGGATTACAAGCGAGAGCTACGATGTTGAGCCCCTCCTTCCATTTCATTAATGACTAATGATGTTGAGTATCTTTGCAAACACTCATTGGCCATTTGTGTTTCTTCTGTGACGAGCTGTCAATTCGAATCCTTTGCCATTTTTAATTATTTGCTGTGTGTGTGTCTGTGTGTGTGTGTGTGTGTGTGTGTGTGTGTGTGTGTGTGTGTCTGTGCGTCAGAATCTGACTCTGTTGCCCAGGCAGGTATGATCTCTGCTCATTGCAATCTCCACCTCACAGGCTCAGGTAATCCTTCCACCTCAGTCTCCCAAGCAGCTGGGACTACAGGTATATGCCACCACACCCAGTATTTTTTAAAGAGATGGGGTTTCACTATGTTTCCCAGGGTGGTCTTGAATTCTGAGCACAAGCCATCTGCTTACCTCAGCCTCTCAAAGTGCTGGATTACAGGTGTAAGCCACTATGCCTGGTCTTATTTCTCATTTTACTGTTGGGTCTTGATACCTTTTTTAACAAAGAAATAAAGTAGGCCATGCATGGTGGCTCATGCCTGTAATCTCAGCACTTTGGGAGGCCAAGGCAGGCGGATCACTTGCGACCAGGAGTTCAAGATCAGCCTGGCCAAGAAGCAAAACCCTGTCTCTACTAAAAATATAAAAATTATCCAGGCATCATATCACAAGCCTGTAGTCTCAGCTACTTAGGAGGCTGAGGCAGGAAAACTGCCTGAATCCGGGAGACAAAGGTTTCATTGAGTCAAGATCGCACCACTGTAATCCAGCCTAGGCAACACAGCAAGACTCTGTCTCCAAACAAAAAAGAAATAATTTAATTCTAAAGGTTTCCTGTAGTAAATATGTATTAGTTTTACTATTTTTCCCTTTTTCCTATATATTTATAAGTGACAGTAAGAGTTCTGAGTCTTTTGACAATAGTTTTTAAAAGTCACAGAATGCCGGGCGTGGTGGCTCAAGCCTATAATCCCAGCACTTTGGGAGGCCGAGGCGGGTGGATCACCAGGTGGAGAGATTGAGACCATCCTGGTCAACATGGTAAAACCCCGTCTCTACTAAAAATACAAAAAACTAGCTGGGTGTGGTGGCGCGTGCCTGTAATCCCAGCTACTTAGGAGGCTGAGGCAGGAGAATTGCCTGAGCCCAGGAGGTGGAGGTTGTGGTGAGCCGAGATGGCGCCATTGCACTCCAGCCTGGGTAACAAGAGTGAAACTCCGTCTCAAAAAAAAAAAAAAAGTCACAGAATAATTCTTTTTTCTACTACGCAGTTTGTTAGCACAATTATTTTTACTATCCCACATTGCCATTTGAAGGCTACCTATAAGTTAAAAAATCTGTAGCTCTCTCTCATGTGTGCGTACTCCCACTCTTTCTCTCCATGGAGACAGAGATATATGAAAGGTATCTACTTTAATAGAACAGAAATGAAAGATATTTACTTTAATAGTTAGAACAAAAAAACCCCTCAAATTATTTTATATGGGAATTTAGTTATAATCAGCATTGATTACCCTAAATAGGCTATCATTTAAATATTCTTTTTGCTATATAGAAGTATTTAACGTTATTATTTATTGATAAACATCTCTAAAGTTAAGCATTTAGTACTGAAAATACCTTAAAAATAATTTGTCCTATAGTCTATTTATTAATAAGGTCAGTTTAAATGAGAGTTGAGGTACAAATGAGAAACAGTAGAACAAAGACGCTTTACTAAAAGTATTAAGAAAACTACTTTATAGATATCACTTTATTTTATATAATTGATGCTATATGCTTTATTTTTGAAATGGAGTCTTGCTCTGTCACCCAGGGTGGAGTACAACGGCGTGATCTCAGCTCACTGCAACCTCCATCTCCTGGGTTCAAGTGATTCTCCTGCCTCAGCCTCTTAGGCAGCAGCTGGGATTACAGGTGTGCACTAGCACGTCTAGGTAATTTTTATATTTTTAGTAGAGACGGGGTTTTGCCATGTTGGCCACACTGGTCTTGAATTCCTGACTGCAGGTGATCCACCTGCCTCAGCCTCCCAAAGTGCTGGGATTACAGGCATGAACCACTGCACTGGCCTAAATGACACTATATTCTTATAAAATGTCTCCTACTTCTTTGACATTAACAACATTGCCAAAATATATTACTTACGCACATATATAAATGATGTACTATATTAGAAAACCAAATATTTTTTAAAATTTACTTACTCTTAGCCACTCTACCATGTTTTCTTCAATTTCGCTATCGGCAGAGATGTCTAATATAAGACGTCGTGTCAAATGAGCTTTATGATATCTCATAAAAACATCTTTGTTCTGTACATACTTAAGTACCAAGAGCTGTATGAAAAACAAAGTTACTTTCAATTCTTATATACTCTTAGCCATCTCTCGAATTTAGATCCCTTCTATATCCACCAATTGTCAAAAGTCAGAAATTTTTATGTACATATAAAAGACCTAATAAATTATCTGTGAGAAATACCTAGTCTTAATATACTACATTAAAAGTTAGCAAAATTGAGACCATAACCAAATACGTTTTTAGTCACTCTAAGTATCAGTTTTTTAGATTTTACATAAATTGCAAGGATACACTTTACATGAAAAAAATCAGTGGTTTTCTTCACCCAAGTTTCTCTTCTACTTATTTTTTCCACTTTTTTGTTCTGCCACTAATCATCTCTCTGGGTCTTTTTGTCTACACCTGCCCAATATCTTCTTATTTTTTTTCTTGTATTCCTGGGCTTACATCATTACACTAACTGGGTGACAAAAATGAAAGCAACTACTTAGTCTACTCTCACTCATCCTTAGCTATCTATCTTGGACTCTCACAAAAAAGGAAGGAGTAAAAAACTCTCAATCTTTCAACTATCATTCCAAATTTGTTGGAATGATAAGTCCTGTATTAGTAGCTACAATTTAATTCCTAAAAATAATCATTAAAGGAGAGTAATTAAATGGTATTTCCTTCAAGAAGCTATGAATAAAAAGTTTCAGAAGAAAAAATACCCCCCTTAGAGGTCTTATACTGTAAAACTTCATAACATTAGTTCTTTACAGATACACATTTTAAAATTGGTACTATTACAGAAAGTCCTGTAAGCAAAACACAAATTCAAAGTAAGGTAATTTTAAAAGTTGAAATTAAAAAAAAATTCATGTACCACTTCTTTAAGCTTTGCTTCAATCTCTTCAGAGGTTAATTTTTTGCTTAATGGTGTTTTTCTTAGCAACATGTCACAGTAATTGGCAAGCAGCTCAGGGCATTTTGACTCAGGCTGAGTTTTTAATCCCACCCTAAAAAACAAATTAAAAGCAGTTGATGGAAAAATGATTGATGTTTGCAAATATTTTTTCTAAATCCAATTATTCACAAGCGAATTTCTTATGTTAAGCAATCTAATGACCAGGTTTGGAACTAGGATGAGCAAGCAAAATATCTAGGGTGCCTAATTTAGGGAGGCACTCACTGTTAGGTTCCCCTAAGTGCTGACATGGCACTTGCAGAACCCTGAGAGTAAAAGCCTCCTTCAATTTTACACTCTAGGCCAGTGCTGTGGCTCATGCCTGTAATCCCAGCACTTTGGGAGGCTGAGACGGGCAGATCATGAGGTCAGGAGATCAAGACCATTCTGGCTAACACAGTGAAACCTCATCTCTATTAAATACAAAAACAGCTGGGCATGGTGGCACGCACCTGTGATCCCAGCTACTTGGGAGGCTAAGGCAGGAGAATTGCTTGAACCCAGGAGGCGGAGGTTGCAGTGAGCTGAGATAGAGCCACTGCACTCCAGCCTGGGCAACAGAGCAAGACTCTGCCTCAAAAAAAATTTTTTATTTTTGCACTCTAGGTGCCTTCTTGCCTCACCCTAGTGCTGACCTTGGCAAAGTTATTTAAAATATTTTGTTGAGAGATCTGTTAAAATACTTTTGAAAAACTGTTAAATTATTGGATATTTAGGTTAACATTTAAAACTTTTTTTTTTTTTTTTTGAGACGGAGTTTCGCTCTTGTTACCCAGGCTGGAGTGCAATGGCGCGATCTCGGCTCACTGCAACCTCCGCCTCCTGGGCTCAGGCAATTCTCCTGCCTCAGCCTCCTTGAGTAGCTGGGGTTACAGGCATGCGCCACTATGCCCAGCTAGTTTTTTGTATTTTTAGTAGAGACGGGGTTTCACCATGTTGACCAGGATGGTCTCGATCTCTCAACCTCGTGATCCACCCGCCTCAGCCTCCCAAAGTGCTGGGATTACAGGCTTGAGCCACCGCGCCCGGCAACATTTAAAACTTTTTATTAACATGTTAAAACTGTTATTTCACCCTTTGAAATGTATCTAATATAACCCACATTCCATAATGATATATCTACGATTATTCATTAAAAATGAAAACTGTAAATGAATTCTTCCTAAGCAATGAAGAACCTGTATCTCCATTTCGCTTTCCTGATACAATTTTTTTTTTTTTTTTTGAGATGGAGTTTTGCTCTTGTCCCTGAGTCTGCAGTGCACGATGCAATCTTGGCTCATTGTAAACTCCACCTCTCGGGTTCAAGTAGTTCTCCTGCCTCAGCCTCCTGAGTAGCTGGGATTACAGGTACCTGCCACCATGCCTGGCTAATTTTTATATTTTTAGTAGAGATGGGGTTTCGTCATGTTGGCTGGGCTGGTCTCAAACTTCTGACCTCAGGTAATCCACCTGCCTCGGCCTCCCAAAAAAGGGCAGGGATTAAACGTGTGAGCCACTGCGCCTGGCTCTTAATACAAATTTAAACACGGCATATTGTTGTTTTCTAAAAAATAACAGACACACACACACACAAAAAAAAAAAAAAAAAAAAAAATTGAGACAAGGTCTTATTAAGTTGTCCAGACTGAACTTCTCCCAAGCAGCTGGGACTATAGATGCATGCCACTGCACCCAGCAGTATATTGTATTTTTATGCCTGAAAGTCTTATTTTTTAGCCTATTTCTCTAAAAATATACATAAATAAATCAAGATTTTGAAATTTCTTGTGCTTATAAAAGTCAAGTATTGTTTTCCAAGGATTGAGCTATACAAACTATAAGTATACAAACCATCTAAACAACAGTTATACTGTGCATGCATATACACAAAAAACATGCATATGTAAAAGTTGACTACATGTATCAACTCTTAGAGGGGCAGATGAAACTTTTTTCTTCCCAATTATAAATCCAGGAATCAGCATAGATTCTATTTATTTTATTTTTATAAATTTGTCTTTGCCCTGAGAAATCTTACTCACATAAATAAGTAGATGGGACTAGAGTAAGTTTTGCTTATGATGTCATCCAATTATTTTGGCACCTCCCGAGCCACTTGCAAAACAAAAAAATCCACAGTAGTCTAATATTAAAAATTACTTTTAATGATGCATATTTAAATAATGGCTAACGTCAGTGAGGCGAGGAATGGAAAAAATAAAATAAAAAACCAACAAAAATAATAGCGAACATCAACTGTGCTAAAAGCAAAGAAGTAGAAACTATCTGACTAGGATCTAATACCTAATTCATTAGAAATTAATTTTATGTACATCAATACCAGTATTTCAAAATATTCCAGTCTTAGGCAATCTGAAGGTTGTTATATTCTTTTTTTTTTTTTTGAGACGGAGTTTCGCTCTTGTTACCCAGGCTGGAGTGCAATGGCGCGATCTCGGCTCACCGCAACCTCCGCCTCCTGGGTTCAGGCAATTCTCCTGCCTCAGCCTCCTGAGTAGCTGGGATTACAGGCACGTGCCACCATGCCCAGCTAGTTTTTTGTATTTTTAGTAGAGACGGGGTTTCACCATGTTGACTAGGATGGTCTCGATCTCTTGACCTCGTGATCCACCCGCCTCGGCCTCCCAAAGTGCTGGAATTACAGGCTTGAGCCACCGCGCCCGGCCCTTTGAAGGTTGTTATATTCTGAGGCAAAGCACCACAGGAAGAATCAAGAAAGATATGCCTTTCTTTGCAAAGTGGAAATGGGTAATTGTGAAAGAAGTAGAAAGGAAAAACTGCAATGATACTTCCATCACAGGGTGCGATTTTAGAAAAGAGTGTATGTGAAGTTGAAAATTTAGAAATGGATTTTCTTGGAAGTATCCACACTGGCATACTCTAGGGCAATCTTTCTGTATTCCCTTAGGTAGCCATACTCCACTAATTTAATGAGAATCCATCCATCTCTCCTTGCAATGCCTGGCCCAGGTGTGAGCTACTGTAACAATCCAAGGGATCTACCTTCCTGCCTTCATTCAACCTGTTGAGAGGACAGCCATCAGTTCTTATTTTTGTTTTGACATGGACATCTTGCTACATTGCTCAGGCTGGTCTTTAACTCCTGGGCTCAAGCAATCCTCACTCCTCAGCCTCCCAAGTAGCTGGGATTACAAGCCAGCTATTTGTCTTATACTGTATCTTTGAAGGTAGTGTGTTATTTTTGCCCCTTGTGGCTGTTTTAAAAGTTTTATTATTGTTGTCAGCTTTAAGCTGTTTACTATGATGTACCTAGGAATGGTTTAATTTGTATTTATCCCACTTGGGATTCACAGACACCCTTAAATGTTTAATCAATTTTGGTCAATACTACTTCAAATATCCTCTTTTCTATGCTCTATGCTTCCAATTATATGGTTTTAGACACTTTTCTCAGATAACAATTTCCATCTATTTGTCCATTAATAAGTATTGCTTCTTCATTGCTATTACCTGTTTATTAATAATTACTGAGATATAATTCGCAAAGCATACAATTCACTCAAAATACACAATTCAGTGCTTTTAAAGTATATTCATAGGGTTGTGTAATCATCACCATAACAAAATTTTAGAACATCGTCATTATCCCAAAAACAAATGCCATAATTGCTAGCATTCAAATCCCATTCTCTAGCTAGTCTCCTCTCACCTCAAAGGCCTGGGCAACAACTAGTCTACTCTATGGATGTGCTGATTCTGGATATCTCAGATAAATGTTATACATTAAGTAGTATTTTGTGACCTGCTTCTTTTACTTAGCATCGAGTTTTCAAGATTCATCCATGTGTCATAGCATGTATCAGTTGTTCATTCCCTTTTTTAAAATGTATCTTTCGAGAGTAAAACAGATTAATCATTTTAATCATTTTTAACTGTAAAATTCAGTGGCATTAAGTACATTCACAATGCTGTGCAAACATCACTGCCATATATTTCCAGAACTTCTTCATTATCCCAAGCAGAAATCTTGCATACATGGAACAGTAAATTCCCGTCTCCCTTTCCCCATCCCCTAGTAACTTTTATTTTGCCTGTTCTTGATACCTCATACAATTCCTTTCATGCAAAATTTGTCCTTATGTGTCTGGCTTACCTGAACCCCTAGAACGTTTTCAAGGTTCATCTATTTTGTAGCATATAGCAGAATAATAACTCATTTCTTATGACTGAATAATATTCCACTGTATGGATACAGCACATTTTGCTTATCTATGCAGCTAATGGACATCTGGGTTGTTTACACTTTTTGGCTATTAAGAGTAATGCCACTCTACTATGAATATTTATGTGCATATTTTTGAATGAAAGTATGTTTTCATTTCTTTGGTATACACCTCAGAGTAGAATGGTTGGGCTGTATAACTCTGTTGAACTTCCTTTGTTTATTTTGTTTTTTTTCCTGTTTCCTTTTTTTAAGAGACGGGGTTTCACCATGTTGGCCAGGATGGTCTCCATCTCTTGACCTCATGATCCACCTGCCTCAGCTTCCCAAAGTGCTGGGATTACAGGTGTAAGCCACCACACCTGGTCGTTGTTTATTTTGTTTTAAGGGTAGTGAAGCGAAGCAGTGGGAGTGGAGAAGAACAAATATATCTATAACTGGTTGTGATCATTTAGTTGTAAACACCACTGCACTTGGACAAGCCTATGCTGAACTTCTTGAGGAACTACCAAACTGTTTCCACAGAAGGTGCACCACCAACAGTATCATTCCAATTTTTCCAGATCCTTACCCGCACTTGTTGTATCTTTTTTATTGTAGTCAACATACTGGGTACGTTGTGGCATCTCACTATGGGGAAGATATTAGTCCTAATTAAAGTCCTTATGTGTTAACTCCAACATCAGGATCACCTGAGAATCTGCTTCTAAAATGATTTTTCTTTTAATTAAATCAATTTCTCTGCCTTCATAGGACTAGTAATGTACTGAATACTGGACACTGTATATAAAAGAATCACACAGACACAAGATAATGTTATCCTGAATTAAGAATGGGTTCACCCTTTGTTCTGCTATGAAAGGAAA